TTCCGGGTCGATCTGAGACAATTTTTTCTTCGGGGCTCAAAAAAAGGCAGTGTTTTACCTTCCTTTTTTACCAAAAATCGACTACACCCAAAATTTTTCGGGGAAACACTTTTTCTTATTTATTTGGGTGCGTGGAACCCAAATCAATTTGTACTTTTTCGATCAGACTTCCCAATCAAAAGTTATAGACTAGAAAAAAATTCAAAGGGCTGTAACTTTTGAACTAGTAGCCCCATCTTGAAACTGTTTGAAATTATGGATTCTACAGGCCACATTCTATAAGAAAATTTTTTTCCGGGTAGTTCTGAGACAATTTTTTCTTCGGGGCTCAAAAAAAGGCAGTGTTTTACCTTCCTTTTTTACCAAACATCCACTACACACAAAATTTCTCGGGAAAACACTTTTTCTTATTAATTAGGGTGCGTAGAATCCAAATCAATTTGTACTTTTTCGATCAGACTTCTCAATCAAAAGTTATAGACTAGAAAAAAATTCAAAGGGTTGTAACTTTTGAACTAGTAGCCCCATCTTGGAACTGTTTGAAATTAAGGATTCTACAGGCCACATTCTATAAGAAAATTTTTTTCCGGGTAGTTCTGAGACAATTTTTTCTTCGGGGCTCAAAAAAAGGCAGTGTTTTACCTTCCTTTTTTACCAAACATCCACTACACACAAAATTTCTCGGGAAAACACTTTTTCTTATTAATTAGGGTGCGTAGAATCCAAATCAATTTGTACTTTTTCGATCAGACTTCTCAATCAAAAGTTATAGACTAGAAAAAAATTCAAAGGGTTGTAACTTTTGAACTAGTAGCCCCATCTTGGAACTGTTTGAAATTAAGGATTCTACAGGCCACATTCTATAAGAAAATTTTTTTCCGGGTAGTTCTGAGACAATTTTTTCTTCGGGGCTCAAAAAAAGCCAGTGTTTTACCTTCCTTTTTTACCAAAAATCGACTACACCCAAATTTCTCGGGAAAACACTTTTTCTTATTAATTTTGGTGCGTAGAATCCAAAACAATTCGTACTTTTTCGATCAGACTTCTCAATCAAAAGTTATAGACTAGAAAGAAACCAATTTCGAAAGAAAATTCAAAGGGCTGTAACTTTTGAACTAGTAGCCCAATCTTGGAACTGTTTGAAATTATGGATTCTACCAGGCCACATTCTATAAGAAAACTTTTTTTCCGGGTCGATCTGAGACAATTTTTTTTGAGGGCCTCAAAAAAAGGCAGTGTGCAACCTTCCTTTTTTACCAAAAATCGAATGCACCAAAATTTCTCGGGAAAACACTTTTTCTTATTAATTTTGGTGCGTAGAATCCAAAACAATT